GTACGAATGCCTCTGACCCATTTGATCCGCACTTATAGTGGTGCATGTGTAATTTGGATGGACCATTATTATATGTCAGCTTCCCAAAATAAAATGATGCAAAACCAAAAAGCCTCTTACCTTCTACTAATTTGACAGTTGTTCACTATCTTTCTTTTTTCTTTTTCTTTTTCTTTTTTTTTTTTGAATGAAACTCCTAATGACAATTGTTCACAATCATTCCGCGTGCTATAATCAACATGAATTTGGAGCTTCATTTATAGCCCACAATGAACCTTCATAATTCCATGTTATAGCCACCAAAACTTCATTTTAGGGGCCTCATGAAAATTCATCTCCATCTAAAAAGTGAAGTATTAGTTATGATTAATTTACATTATTGTAAGTATTACATTAATTTTTAGTTATCTATTTTAAAATTTCAGTAATTAATATAATATTTAAAATTTTAAAATAGCCTTCTACCTTTTAAAAAAATTGATTAAAAATTAGTATATGTTGTAAAATAAAGAGATAATCAATAAGAAGAAGAAAAAAAAATTAGAGAGATAAAGTGAAACAATATAAAGATATATTATATTTCCATTCTTCTCCATTTGTTCTTCATTTGTTTTCTATACACTTGCAAGAATACAAACCCTATATATAGGGGCCAATAAGTGATAGGAGTTATAAAAAATAAATACCTATTAAATGAGAGGTTATAAGGATTAATCTTCTACTAATATAGAGGTTATAAGGAATTCTATTATTGTCATTTAAATGTGTGGCATTATGAAATGTTAATCACAATTATAATTGTATGGAGGTAATGAAAATTATATCATTACTTGATATGTAAATATAATGGAAAGTGGAGAGGTGAGAGGATGAAGAATGTGAACATCTATAATGAATTAATTTATTAAGTTAATGATAATCACTACTATGCAAACATTTATAATAAAATTTCCTTATAAAAGTTGGATTTTTTTTTTAAAGGTTGAAGTTATAACTCCAATGTCCAGTGGTTCAAACAATTCCCAAAGGATTAAATCGAAAATACCCCCAAAATTTCCAAAAGCTGACTCTAATCAATTCTTGTTTTTTTTGGACAAACTCTTCATTGCTTTCTAGAAGAAAACTTGGGTTTGCAGTTTTAGATGAAGGGACCAATCTGTTTGAGTTACACAGTTTAATAAGTGAATGTTTCAGCAGTACAGGATGTTAGAAAAAGGTTTTTCATTGTATCTAATCTTACCAGGATGTTACAGGTTAAGGTAATAGGTTTTTAAATGGTAGTTAGTCATGGGGTGAAATGAGTTTTGTTTTGTAAATGGTAGGGCATTTATAGGCAACAGAAAGATGTCTCTTTGATACTATGGTCGTTCCATGTTCACTATGTTTGTTCTTATAATTTAATACAACTGCATCTAGAGACGGCTGTAGTTATTTTCAAGTTGAGTTTTTACTTTGAAGTCATTATGACATAAATTATATCTTTAGTCATGTCAGGTTTTTGAAGCAGGTATCTCTTGTCTGAATTACCACTCGGTGCAAGGCACTAGTTTGGGGGACATTGTATCCAGGTTCTTGAGATGGCATGGCATGTTTCATTTTCTGGATCTGATTGCCCTGCCGCTCACAGGCATTTGGAACCACTTCCTCCACCTGAACTTTTAGAGAACAAGATTGCCATTCAGGCAGCAGAGATTGGGCAACTTGCTCTGGACAAACACAAACTGGCAGCTAGTCTTGTTGCCTTGAGGCAGGAGATTGCT